TCTGGGTGTAAAGTGAGCATATTTAGCTCGAGTGTGACAATAACCGCCAAGTCTGGGAGGATGAGGGTTGGAGACGTGGGGGTTGGGGAGAGACGAGGTGGGAAGAATAAACAGTTTGTGAGGACAATGTGCGCGGAGCGTGGCCGGCAGATACCCTTCTGAACACTTTCTTTAGGCCCAGTTGGGATGGTTAAGGGGAGGAGGGGCTGAGAGAATTGCAGGGGAAAAAAAAAGTAACCCTGATGGTTTAAGCTCTTTATTTAAAAAGAAAAAAATGGCATCAGGACTTTTTTTTTTCGGTCTCTCCCCCCTTTTGTACCCAAGTGCATTTTAGCCACAAAGGTTCCAACAAGAGTGGAAGGAAACTTAGACCGGGCTTTGTTTGACTCCGTGTAGCGACAACAAGAGAAACAAAACTACCTATTTGTAACGGACGTGGTGCGGTGGCTCTGGGCTTTTTGAGCGCCTGCCGATTGAAATCTTTACGTCTGGACAATGGGAGATCGGCTAAAATTACCCTCTCGGGTCTTGGGCGTGCAAGATTCTTGAGCCCCTACCCCCGCCCCCGGCCCATCCTCCGGCGGCCTGGGCTTGCTGGGGCCGGGCTCCCGGGGTTCCGCAGGCCTCAGCCCTACGCTCTTGGCTTGCACCTGTACCTCTGAACCCCGCGCGCCTCCCAGGCCCCAGTGCTTCCCAGCCCTAGACCAACTCGGCCGGGCCTTCACGGCTACCACCGTGCCAGTGAGCAGGGGCAATGCGGGCAGCGCAGCTCCCATCCTGGGAACGCTGCGTGGGAGGGAGTTTGTGAGCACAGCCCAAATGCCACCTCAGTGCCTCGCGGTAGGATGCCAGGAAGTTGTGTGACCCTCCCCCCATCGCTGCACTCTGGAGTCTCTTTCTGTTGATTCTTTCCTCCCCGGGCTCTCATCTGAAACTGCCACCACTGAAATCCTCGTGTGTGTGTGTGTGTGTGTGTGTGTGTGTGTGTGTGTGCGCGCGCGCGCACGCGGGGGGGCTGGGGGTTAGAAAGAGAGTGAGAGGGGAGTTGAAGCTTTGCCTTTGCACTCTCTGGATGGGACACACTGGTGTAGGAGGGAGCTGGGGTTGAGGACACGTGCTGCGGCTCCTTAAAGCACACCTGAGTCAGGCTAGAAGACTGGGAACAAGGCCTGTTCCCTAGCTCTGCTCAGCAGTGGGCCACATAGGCAGGACTCGTGTTTGGGAGCCGAGCGGATGACGTGGAAGCCAGGAGGGTACTGGGGCCCGAGGCTTGGGGCTAACTTCAGTCAGTACTGTGAGACCAGGGGGTGAGTGGGTGTTGGCACCAAGGTAGGAAGAGGGGCTGGAACCGAGAGCAGTGCCGTGGATGAGCGGAGGAACAATGGCACACCACCTCCGGCCCTGCCAGCTTCCTGAAATACTAGTTGGACGGTCGCCCTGAACCACCCATGGGCCCTGCCCCACCCTGGCCCCGGCTCCCCGCGCCCCATCCTCCCTTATGTACCCAGGAGGGGAGCCAATATTCCGTAGCAAGGGGGGAAGGAGCTGTCGTCTTGGTGCTGTTTACCCACTTCCTTCGAACAGGCGTGCGCCGTGACCTGTTGCTGAGGAAGGGGGATACAAAGGTTCCCCCGCGGCCGGCTGCAGGCTGCGGGCCCGCCTCCCCCGCGCCGCTCGGGGCACAGCGCTCTGCTGGGCTCGGCTCGGCGGCGCGGCAGGCCCCGCCCCCTTTCATGCAAAACCCTCTGGCGAGGCTGGGCTCCGGCGCAGGAGCCGGCGCTCGCTGATTGGCCGCCGGAAACCCATTTATTCCCTGACAGCCCCCATCACATGGATGGTTGTCTATTAACTTGTTCAAAAAAGTATCAGGAGTTGTCAAGGCAGAGAAGAGAGTGTTTGCAAAAAGGGAAAAGTACTTTGCTGCCTCTTTAAGACTAGGGCTGGGAGAAAGAAGAGGAGAGAGAAAGAAAGGAGAGAAGTTTGGAGCCCGAGGCTTAAGCCTTTCCAAAAACTAATCACAACAATCGCGGCGGCCCGAGGAGGAGAGCGCCTGCTTTTTCATCCCAATTGCACTTCGCCCGTCTCGAGCTCCGCTTCCCCCCAACTGTTCTCCGCCCGATCTCCGCTCAGGCCGTGCACGCCGACGCCCCCGCCCGCGGCCCCTGCAGCCCGGCCCCCGCGCGCGGCCCCCGCAGTCCCGGCCGGGCCGAGGGTCGGCGGCCGCCGGCGGGCCGCGCCCGCGCCCAGCGCCCGCATGTATAACATGATGGAGACGGAGCTGAAGCCGCCGGGCCCGCAGCAAGCTTCGGGGGGCGGCGGCGGAGGAGGTAACGCCACGGCGGCAGCGACCGGCGGCAACCAGAAGAACAGCCCGGACCGCGTCAAGAGGCCCATGAACGCCTTCATGGTGTGGTCCCGGGGGCAGCGGCGTAAGATGGCCCAGGAGAACCCCAAGATGCACAACTCGGAGATCAGCAAGCGCCTCGGCGCCGAGTGGAAACTTTTGTCGGAGACCGAGAAGCGGCCGTTCATCGACGAGGCCAAGCGGCTGCGAGCTCTGCACATGAAGGAGCACCCGGATTATAAATACCGGCCGCGGCGGAAAACCAAGACGCTCATGAAGAAGGATAAGTACACGCTTCCCGGAGGGCTGCTGGCCCCGGGCGGGAACAGCATGGCGAGCGGGGTTGGGGTAGGCGCCGGCCTGGGAGCGGGTGTGAACCAGCGCATGGACAGCTACGCGCACATGAACGGCTGGAGCAATGGCAGCTACAGCATGATGCAGGAGCAGCTGGGCTACCCGCAGCACCCGGGCCTCAACGCGCACGGCGCGGCGCAGATGCAGCCCATGCACCGCTACGACGTCAGCGCCCTGCAGTACAACTCCATGACCAGCTCGCAGACCTACATGAACGGCTCGCCCACCTACAGCATGTCCTACTCGCAGCAGGGCACCCCCGGCATGGCGCTGGGCTCCATGGGCTCGGTGGTCAAGTCCGAGGCCAGCTCCAGCCCCCCCGTGGTTACCTCTTCCTCCCACTCCAGGGCGCCCTGCCAGGCCGGGGACCTCCGGGACATGATCAGCATGTACCTCCCCGGCGCCGAGGTGCCGGAGCCCGCGGCTCCCAGTAGACTGCACATGGCCCAGCACTACCAGAGCGGCCCGGTGCCCGGCACGGCCATAAACGGCACACTCCCCCTGTCGCACATGTGAGGGCCGGACCGCGAACTGAGAAGGGGAGAGATTTTCAAAGAGAAACAAGGGAATTGGGAAGGGTTCAGAAGAGGAGACTAAGAAAAATCTGTTATGGTCAAAGGAAGAAGAAAAATCTCATTACCCGCAGCCAAATGACAGCTGCGGAAAAGACCACCAATCCCATCCAAATTAACGCAAAAACCGTGTTGCCGACTAGAAAACTTTTATGAGAGATTTTGGGACTTCTTTTTGGGGGACTATTTTTGTACAGAGAAAACCCGAGTGCGGAGGGGAGGGTGGGGGAATCGGACCATGTATAGATCTGGAGAAAGAAACTACGCAAAACTTTTTTTTAAAAGTTCTAGTGGTACGTTAGGCGCTTCGCAGGGAGTTTGCAAAAGTCTTTACCAGTAATATTTAGAGCTAGACTCCGAGCGACGAAAAAAGTTTTAATATTTGCAAGCAAACTTTTGTACAGTATTTATCGAGATAAACATGGCAATCAAATGTCCATTGTTTATAAGCTGAGAATTTGCCAATATTTTTCGAGGAAAGGGTTCTTGCTGGGTTTTGATTCTGCAGCTTAAATTTAGGACCGTTACAAACAAGGAAGAAAGAAGTTTATTCGGATTTGAACATTTTAGTTTTAAAATTGTACAAAAGGAAAACTTGAGAGCAAGTACTGGCAAGACTATTTTCTTGGTCTTGTTTAAAAAGGGCAAATGTTCTAGATTGTACTAAATTTTTAACTTACTGTTAAAGGCAAAAAAAATGTCCATGCAGGTTGATATCGTTGGTAATTTATAAAAGTTTTTGTTCAATCCCACCTTTCCATTTTGTTCAGATAAAAGAATATGGAATTACTGTGTTTGGAATATTTTCTTATGGTTTGTAATATTTCTGTAAATTTATTGTGATATTTTAAGGTTCCCCCCCTTTTATTTTCCGTAGTTGTATTTTAAAAGATTCGGCTCTGTTATTGGAATCAGGCTGCCGAGAATCCATGTATATATTTGAACTAATATCACCATCCTTATAACAGCTACATTTTCAACTTAAGTTTTTACTCCATTATGCACAGTTTGAGATAAATAAATTTTTGAAATATGGACACTGAAATTATGCCTGAGTCTTTCATTTCTTTAGCTAGCAATGCTTATACGTAACTTCTTGGGGGAATTAGAATACGGTGCTGAGCCACCAGGCTTGACGTTACCAGCAATGCCTGTTAGCATTAACTGCAGAAGAAAAAGATGGCTGGGAAACTGAAATGCGCTGTCATTTCTAAAATAGGAACTAGAGGCATATATTGTAAGTCCACCCCCTCCTTTCCTAAGCAGCGTGAATAAGCGCGATGTGGGCTTAAGCTAGCTTGTACCACTTGTTGCCAGAAGGAGTCGATTCTGAAATTTTCATGTAGCTTAGCAGATGGGGTATTGAGCCAAATCTGAGCCAGGTTGGCTAGGTTTGTTTTCATTTTCTTTACAACACAATGGCCCTTTGAAATGTGGTTTATAGGGGAAAATGATGCTTCTTGTATCGGAATAATTACAAAGTAGACACGCCGAGTGTTCTGCCGGGTAGGTGCTTGGGTGACTCTAGCCCTGCTATTGTGCAAGGAAACAAGTGGTTTTCTGTCTTTGTTTCCTGACTTCATAAACTTTCTCCTCTACGTTTTCCTGTTTGGGGCGAGGGGAAAAAGCGAAGACCGGCTTGCAAAATTCCCTTACTTATCATGGACTTTTTTATTTTTTTTCTCCCCCCACCCCCACCCCACCCCGGATTCCACTTCTTAATTTGGCAGCGCGGGTCCAAGCCTGTAGTCCCAAATCGGATAATCTCTGCAGCTGGCTACACGCAAAAGAGAAGCCAGGCAACAGACATATTACAGAAGAAAGCTCCCGACTCCGAGGTAGATATTTCGCTTTGTGCGCTCTGATCACATTTGGACACGATTGTGCTTTTGATCTGTTAACTGTTTTACTACAGTAGTGGAGAGAAGGGGAGGAGAGAGGGTGGGGAATCGAGATTGGATTTGCTGTTTTCTTTTGCCCCAGGAAAAGTAAAGAGAGGCTGGCGAGGTCCTCGGCTGGAGCGGAAAAGTTGGGAACCGCGGTAGTCGGCGGTTCTGGCGCATCCGAGGCCGCTGGCGGGCTTTTTTTTTTTTTTTTTTTCTTCCTATTTCCGCTCATCTTCTATCCACATGCATCAAGAACCAGGAATCGGGCGTCCTTAGGAGTTCAGCCTTGCTTCTGTTTGGAGCATTCGCCCGCTGCACCTCTGCAGAAGTTAGGATCCTGCGGCGCTTTCTGCCCTGCAGCCGGGTACCGGCCACAGCCGGTTCTCTCAGCCTCTAGGCCTACGTCGCCTCTTTTGCATGGAAGTCTTTTCTTTCTTGGGGAGCTGCTAATGTTCTGTGGAGAACTCAAGGTCTCGTTTTCTGTGTTTACATTTCTTCTCGATCGCCTCACAGGTGTACAGTGGGTACTTATTTATTTTCGTTTTACGGTTGTGTTGTACTGGGAAGGGACATTTATTCAGTTCCCAATCCAAGCTAGGCATTTTCCCCTCTAATTAATTCAGAAACTCTGAAAGAATTTCCCCGAGCCTGGCCAGCCATTGTGATGCACATAGGATTATTCACGTGGTAATGAGCACGCTCGACAGTTCTTGCTCACACATAGGAATAAAAGAAACTTTGAATAAAGAACCAAACGATCGTGCTGGGGGAGAGGGGGATGTATTCCCGGAATTCGAGCCAATGGACAGTATAGAAAGTATATATTTGAAAATAAATATATCTTAGGGATATATATATATATGTACATATATTTTTTTCACAATAATTGACCCGACTCAGCCTCCCAGTTTAAAGGAACAAGAAAAAGGTTCAGTAGACCTGGCCCAAGCCAACATTGTGGAGGGATGCCCAGGTTCAAATATTTTGCAAAACAGAAGAGCACTTTTGAGAGTTGAAATCATAAATGTTTATCATTCTTCAAAAAAAGGAGATGCCCCATATCTCCAAAGCAAATAGTTTAAAAGTAGAGGCCAAAGTATTTTCTTTGTAAATATAGAAGCTTTTGATAAACTCTAGCTGAAGAAAATGACACTTTTTCTTTTACATTGTCCATTTGAGTTAAAACAGTTCCCAAGATGTATAATTTTATACCTAGGTTAATATTTATGAGCAAATAATTTTAAAGAATAATCTCATTTTTAAGAAGGGAGATAAAGTCATGATTCTGCCCAGGAATGGTCCACTTCCATTACTGGGTGTTCACTTTATTCCTAGGACTATTATTCTGGTCAAAGAAACTTAAATTCCAGTCAAGAGGGTGAATTTTAATGTTGATTTGACCTCATACACAGACTGGAAATGTGTAACAGGATGAACATATAATCTGTTCTTGCTACATTTTTTTTCTCCCGCACCCGCCCTCTCCATATCTTAAAGAGTGTTAAAATATTTTGCTGAGCAGGAGTAGATTAACAAGGTTCCTTTGCCAATCCCGGAAAGCTGGTATCACAGACCATCCCAGGGGAAAATGGCTCACATTAACCACTAAATGAATATTTGACAAGGGCTCATTCGGAGGTATTATTACTATAAATGTGTCCCTACTGGACTTTTCAAGGTCAAAGAGCAATGCTTCAATTAATTATTTAGACTGCTAGTAGATTTGGATGTAATAGCTGTACTTATTTCTGGAAGCGACACATTCTTGCAGTAGGAAAATCTCCCGAGACTGTCCATCAGTAACATCTCAGATGGAAAAGTGTATGAAATCCTGGCACTCCAAAGCTGACTTATTTCATGAACAGTTGTCCTGGGCCAAGGGAAAGAGTCACACCCCCGCCCCCAATTTCAGGGACTATTTTTGGTTTAAAGGGAAAAACAACATAATAATTTATGTTAATTTCATCACCATGTCTGGCAAGATCTTTTAGAGTTTGTGATGTGGGGGTAAACTGAATGGCATTTTATAAAACCGCTGTCTTTCTAAATAGGGAAGTCACAGGATTTCCTAGTCCCTGTCAGGCTCTGAACTTAGGGAGAGTACATACTCTTGTTTGGCAATAAAAGCAAAAATTTGAAATGGAAGGCACCAGGCTGGGTGTTCTGAGTTCTAGAAATGGCACAGTAAATCGGGGTGTAAGGTGCCCCCTCTCCTCCTGTTGTCCTGAACACTGCGAGGGGGGGCATTTCTGCCTTGTCACAGGTTCCTCCATGACCCTAGGTAAAATGGTAATCGAATGATTTTGAGAGTAAGATTCCTCCACAATAATATAAATTGAATGAATAAGAGATAAGCTGGGGGGTAGTAATTACAGCCCAATTCATTCAGCTTTTCAGAACTTTTGTTGTAGACGCTCCATTGACTGGGTTTTCTCACATTGAAAGGAGATGATCAGCGCCTGGGGGGCTGGGGGGGCGCAAGGACTACTGCTGAACTGCTTGGTGATGGGGTCTTCATTTAGAACCATTACAAGAGCGAAATTAAACCGTGCCTTTGTGTGCACGAGGTTTTACTTCTCAACTGCTCACAGTTTATAGCTGACCGTTCCGAGACTGAGGACTGACTGTGGTCTCACTGACGTGACTTCATCACTACCAGTTAACATCTCTTACATAATTATTTCTCTATTTCTCTATTTATTTTATGTTGTGATTGAAAGCATTTCCTCTCTGAAACCCCATCCCCCATTTCTTGCTTTTGGAAAGTTTTGAAAAACAAGCCTTCATATTTTTTCTTCATGGAATTTCTTCTGCCTGGAACTTTTTCAGCCAGGACTTGAGTTTATGAGTCTCCCATACCTCCACCCCACTGTTACTTCAGAATAATTTGCATCTCTGTAGGGGTTTTTGCTTTGTTTTTGTTTGTTTCCTGCTGCTTTTCCTTGCTTCTGAGTCCACCTGGGCCTGAGTTTGGATATTGACTTCATGTTCTTATCTTCGTTTTTTGACCTGACTTGAAAGATGTCTGACTGCCTCTCCCTAGGGACCCTGTCTAGGAGATGGACCCCTTAAAGATCGGAGAAACTCTGTCTTTTACTGTGAGAGTCTGGATAATGTCCAAAGGCCTGTACACAGCCTCTGGAGATTTAAAATAAGCTCAACAGAGCTTTCCAAAGACAGAGAAATGGCTCGAACTGCAGGATTAGGTTCATGTCTTTTATAGTTATTTTCTATTAAAAACTTTACCGGAAATGTGCCCGTGACACCAGCGGAGAGCCTCTCTCTTCTAGGGATGCTGGCCAGCTCTAGTATTGTTATTCTGCGGGAGGATGTTTTCCTTCTGTGGCCTTTAGAAAATAATGGACGACTCGACTTTCTTGTTTTGACTAAAGAGACTTCTCTTGGGGAGACGGGAGTACTCAGGTAAGTTGGGATTTCTCGAGTCAGAGCACTCTTTCTGTGTGCGGTTCCGGATGAATTCTGTTTTATATTTTGGTAGAATGGGAATAGTTCTGACTTCCTGGGCGCTGGTCTGTTTCTCTCCGGAAGCAAGTGGTAAATCTTTCTCATCTTCTGGGTCAGCGTTCGGGTTAGAGGAGGTTTTTCTAATTGGCAGGCAGCTCAGGTGACCGAAAGCGCGGAGGGGCCATTCATTTTATGACCCTATCTGCCGGTCTATACCGAGTCAAGTGGGCACGGACGTACAAAGATTTCGGCGTTTTGAGCCACCTTTGCCTGTGTAGGCCCAGGTTCGGCAGGGTTGAGCTAAGAGCTCGCCAGCCTCCTGCAGGCCGCCTGAAAGGAAGGAACTGTAGGGACCAGGCCTAGAGACTCGGCTTGGCCTGGGGCAAGCCGAGTGGGTGACTGACCTGGACTGGCCAGTTTCTGACGTCACCGCGGCAGGCTCCCCTCCCCAAAGACCCCCCCCCAGAAAATGCTCAGGGGTTCCCAGTCACCCTGCCCTCCTGCAGCCCTGCACCAAGTTGTCCCCTGCCTCCTGCCCGGGTGCCTGAACCCTCTGTATGTTGACCTCCTGGCCCCAGAGATGGCTATTGGCTCCAGACCTTCCAAACTAGAAATTGTGGACCCAGGTCTCCTCTTTCTGACATCTCACCCTCGTCCTTTGCCTGTGGCCAAGTCCCACTGGGTCCTCCCCACCAAGGATGGGAGGCAGAGCACTGGCAGGAGGGTGGGAAGTTTTAGTTTTCTGGTGGGAGGAGGGGAGGATACAGGTGGGGATGCTGAGGCAGCCCTGGACTCCCTCAGGTGGGAAATAGAGATGGCTAAGCAAGACCACCCCATGCCCCCTGCATGCACTGGCTTGCCTTGAGGCAGAGATTTCCTCTCTGTCTCCCAGAATAAGGTGAGACACAAGGGACACGTGGGCCAAGTTTGTCTCAAAGCTGCATACAAGGATGCTGGCCCTAGGCAGCGACACTATGCTGGGGAGTCACTCTTCTCTCCTCTTTTCCATCCTTTCTGACTTAGAGTTAGCCTGGGAAGTCACTTGGAAGCTCTTCCTTAAGGGAAGAATACTGACATTTGAGACTTGAGCTGCCCCCGCCCCCAGAGGGCAGTAAAATAGTGACTGTATTATAAGGAGCTGTGACTTCTTCCCTGGCATTCTTATCGATGGTAGCCAGGCCCCTAACCCCACCTTGTGATGTCAGGGTTCAAAGCAACCTGAGGAGGCCTAACTGGGAAAAGAAACACCAGAGAGTTCCTGGCCAGGCCAGGAAAACTAACCTCCATCACGCTACTGATAGTACCCCTGACCTCCCCAACATTCCAATGCTTGATCTCTTCTATAAATAATCCCAGATCTGCTCACATATATCTGCTGCAGGATTCTTCCTCCATGTGTGCTTTCGAAGTTGGGTGATCTGCTAGCCTGTTTGTTCTGAGGTCAGCATGAGTTGGTCAGCTGTGTTTTGCTTTGCCTTCGGCCTCTT